TATCTAGAGACGTCTTTGGGTGCCGCTGCCACCAGTGTTGCACCTTGTCTTCTGGAAGTCTCCGTGCAGAGCCCTGTCAACTTCCTTCTGAGAGAGTTGTGTACCTTGGGCCACAGGGCAGTCTCCCTTCTCCCATAGTCCTGGGAGTCAGCAGCTGGGCCGGACACTGTTACACATACAGAAAAGGGTAACAGTGAGGTTTGCCTGACCAACTGTGCCCCACCCCCCGCCCCCAACTGGAAAAAGGATCTCATGTTGTCCAGGCTGACCTTGAATCAGTTTATTTTGTGCTGCTGGTAATCAAACCCAGGAATCATACATGCTCAGCAAGCATTCTGCCAACTGAGCTGCATCCTAGCCCTTGCTGTGTCGTGAAGGGAGAGTTGGAGTTCTGTCACAGACTTCCACCTATGTCTGAGACTGCCCCCCCCACGGCCCCCAGACGTTGAGCTCCTGTCACAGATTCTTACGAGTGAGCACACAGATGTTTGTATCCACAGAGTGAGGCTCAGCAGTTTCCCTAGAGTGCCCACACTCTATATGCGGAGTGGGCATTCATGGGGGGTCTTCTTCTCTGGAACAGGAAGAATCTATTGAGTATGGAGCCAATCAGCTTCCCCATCTGAGGAGCCTGGGTGCAGGCCAGTAGCCTAGATGTGAATAGTCCCTGTACTAGATGGGGTCTTCCTGTTTCCTTGGTTCAGCCCATGGCTGTATGGTCACTCCTACAGGTTTAGTCAGGGCCATGATCATCCTAGCCTACCCTTAGGGACCAGCCATGCTCACAGGTGGCTTTCTACAGACAATCAGCCCCTGGGAGTGGGTGGGAGACACCTCAGAATCAGGAGACACAGCCCTTTTAGCTTCTGTGGCTGAGATGTCCAAGGTCTCCACAGGTCTTGGTGTCTGTGTGCCTGGCAGAGGAGAGTGCCCTGGGCTCGTAGGGCACTGGTTTCACCCCTTCCCTGGGAGAGGCTGATTGGTGATGGCTGTGTTTGCCTTTCAGTATAAAGTCTTGTCCGTCCTCCCTGGCTCAGGCATGGGAATTGCTGTATCAACACCATCAACCCAGAAAGTAAGTGCCTGGCAGATGACCTCACCCCCTTCCCCATCTGTCACCAGGGACCTGAGTGAGCCTCCCTGGGATGTGGTTTCAGTTTGGGAAGAGGCTCCTTTCTCCCTCAGGAACCTGCTACACGGAGTCAAGGTTCAGGAAGGTCAGCTTGGGTAGGCACCGTAGTTACAGGATAGACAGGTTGGTGGGTCCCAGAGGGAATGGATCCTGCATCCTTCCAAGGAGGAAAGGCCCAGTCCTCTTCTCAGCTGGAGCCTTCCGGGTGAGAGGAGTATGTGGTCATTTGTCCCTGCCAGGCTGCTGTCCTGATCTGACAGGGTCCATTCTAGCCCCAGCCTGGCGACGAAGTGCTCACCCACCCATCCCCCTTCCGTTTCTTCCCCCAGCCCCTGGTGTTTGGTGCCATGGTGCACAGAGACGAAGCCTTTGAGACCATTTTCAGCCAGTACATGAAAATCACGTCTGCAGCAGCCTCTGGTGGTGACAGCTAGTATTGATTCTGAGGTGTTGCTGGAACCCTGGCTAATCAATGGGTAGAGGATCGGACGGGATGTCCTCATGATCTTTGGCAATAATTCTCCTGGACTGTGGCTGGTTATGGTGGTCTGGGTCCTGCAGACCCGAAGGGCTGGGACTCACCTGGATGGTGCCGGGCTGGCCCGTGCTGAGCACGTAAAGCACCTTCGTGGACACCTGTGGACACAGGTGGGCAGAGGATCCTCTTAACCTGTTTGAAGGATGGCACACAAGACACTCATCCTCAGGCCCTGCTAAGCACAGCTCCTCACTCTCCGTCCTGGCCTGGGTACAGACCCAGCACCAGCCATCCTGAGAGACTCCATGATCCCATGACCCCTGTTCTCCAGAGGCTAGAGGCTTTTTTCCATCAAAGCCATAGCTGGGAGTGGTTGTGACCCCTTCTTGCCAGAATGGTAAGACAGAGAGGAGTGGTGGGGAGGCTCCTCTCCAGTGAAGAAATGGCCAGTCATCTCACATGGCCCTCAGACCCTCCTTCCATGTTGGACCTACTGTGGGCACTGCAAGACTGTACGTAGGGCCTCTCTGGGCTTGGTGTTTGGGGTACCTCCTCCTCCATTTTTGGTGTCTGGGCCTGAGCTTGTCACTCATCTGACCCATCTTGGCTTGACACTCCAGCCAAGAGACCAGACCAGTAGTTGATGGCCAGAGAGGGTCCAGAGTGGCGTGTTGGCAAAAGCACACCTTTTTAACACTTTGCTCTTCAGTAAGGTTTTGAGGGCATTCTCCACTCCAGCTGCTGTTCAGTGAACATCAGTGGGAGTCTGGCTGGCGTTTGGCCTCCAGGCTGCAGCCGCTCTGAGTAATGGGGTGGGTGGTTCAGGGAGCTGGGCTGAGGGGCTACCAGGGAGAGGGGAGGGCCCTGTGTGGGAAGAGACTAGGGGTCAGGGGCCGAGTTGCCCTGTACCTCTAACATCTGACAGTATTCCTTCCTTCCTACACGCTCTGCAAGGCCAGGCAGACCCCGCCCTACCCACGCTTCCTGCCCCAACAAAGGTGGAGACTGCAGGGGTGGGTGATCTTGCAGGCCTGGGCCTCTGAAGGGTACAATCACCACCCCACCTTAGCATTTTCTGGGTGGATCACTCTGGTTCCTTCAGCTTGTCCTGAGTCCTTCAGGTGTCACTGAGATTGTTTTTTTTTTTGAAGAAACAGAAGATTATATTTTTTACAGAGAGCAAGCTGTTTTTCTTATTTTTGTATCATTTTTCAAATGTAATTTTTACCTTTGCGCCAATCCTCATTTGCTGGTGTGGGTATGAGGCCCGGTGGCTTGGGCTCATGACACCCCATTTCCAGGGGCTTCAGGCCACACACTGGGGTTGGGAAAGGCTTGCCAGACAGCCAGATCAAGCACACATACCACCCCAATGTGCAACAAAGGCCACATAGTTCCGGGTACATGGATGGAAGAGTCTAAACAGAGGCTTGGGGCCCTGTAATATTCTCATGCTCTGAAGAGCATGGAGTGCGATAAGGGGGGACCTGGTGGCACCCCAACATGCCAGAGGGGAGGAAGTGTGGCCTATGACTTGTCACTGGAGATGGCTGTATGGCTGATACACACATATGGGTGAAGCACACGTGGCGGTTAATGCTTTCTGGACCCTGACAGTGCCCAGGCTGGCGAATACTGTCACTGGGGTGCCACACAGAGGCCTTGAATAGGCTTTTAGGGTGGACCAAGTGGTTTAGTTTGAGTCTCTTTCTCTTGGAAAGAGAGATGAAGACTGGCCCATGGTGGACAGGGCTGGGCCAGGGGCCTGTGCAGGCCCTAGGCTGTTAGACACACTGGGGTTTGTACTGGATTGTGTGGTCTGAGCAGGTATTTAATTTCTGACTAATCACTGACCTAGAATGTTCAATTTTGTATGTCTGAAGCTTGAGTCTGTTTTGGATCTGTACATAATTGTTATTGGTGTAACTTTTGTTCTACAAAAGGATCATATTCTATAAAGAACTGGCAGGAAAAAAAATCCTCTCACTTTTTTTTAAAGAAAAATCTTGTTTAGATACAAAGTCTTGTATAAATTATAATTTTTATTTAATAAACCCAAAATGCTCTAAGCTAAGGCTTGGGGGGGCCTCTGTTTTTTGGCAGAATGTATAGGTGTTGGTTGTTAGAATAACTGAGTCCTCATGGCTAACACTGCAGCAGGGTTCAGCACAAAAACACCTGGGAGAATGAAGGCGTGGGGCCTTGGAAGTGGGTGCTGTTTGCTCTACTGCGTGGTGTGAGGGATGCTAGGAACAGAAGATAGTCCCTGGGTCCCAGAAGACAATCCAGAGGAGAGGTGACTCGTCTGGGTAATGTGAGGGGGTGTCTGGACCAGGCAATGCCTTGGGGTTGCGGTATAAGCCTTGGCCCTGTTGAGCGGTGGTCTTTGCCAGCCTGGGGTCTTGAGCAGAAAGGTCTCTAGCAACGCTATGACTTTATTGATTCAGATGCTGACATCGGACACAGGGATACGAGGAAACCTGAGAGTCAAACCTGGAAAGGCATACTAATGGTGCCTGTCCCCACCGCATCCCAAATGAGCTTCTAGTAAGCAGGGGCTACCAAGACCTCTTTGGAAAGGGACTAGGACCAGTGGGTACTCAGGAATGTGGCCATAGGAGGTTGGACGTTTGTATGTTCTGTCCATTCACCCACACATCATCCATCTACTGACCCATCTTTATATCCATCCTTCCATACACATCTGTGTCATCCATCCATCCATCTATCTTATTTCTGTCACTCCATCCATAGCTTACACCCGCTTTGATGCTGGGATACAGCACAGTCAGAGTTCCCTGGGAACTTGTCAAATAGTACCCTCAGCTCTCCTGAGAACACACCCACTGTGACTGTCCAGTCACTCTCCACTCGCCTTCCCTGCCCCTCTGCGGTCGTCCTTCCTGCACCTGTGGTGCAGCCTCTCAACTGTGAGGCACCGCCATGCCTGGTCCTGGTTGAGCCCCTCATCTGGTTTCCTTAGGCCAAGTGGAATAGGTGAGGGCGCATGGATGTGACCCAGACATGCGCCACCATGGCTGTAGGGACGCAGGTACCCATGCTCAACCTGGCACAACTGTTGTGTGAGCACAGCTGGGGCGCCAAGGCTGAGGTACGAAGCCACACCTGGGGCGTTTCTTTCAGGCAAATGGCAGAACCTCCTAGCTAAATAAATCTGCTGTGTGAGACCCATCCCAGGCAGGGACTCCTCCGAGGCTAGACTGGCAGCAGAGTGACCCAGGCTGGGGTGAGGGACGGCCAGATCTCTCAGGGAGGGCACGGTCACTCAGCCTCTTAGCACGGCTTCTCTAAACTATGTTTTCTTAAAATCTGTTTTGAAAATAAGAACTTGTGGGGGAAAAAAAAAGAGGGAAAAACGCCAAATTCTGCCCAAAGTTAACTTTATTTTTTTGTCGTCTCAAACATATCAGATCAAATATGCCTTGCTAATCTTGAAGCCAGCAAGATCAGGAAGCATATTGGGCCAGCCTCATGCCAGAGCTCCCAGTTCAAGAGATTGTACACGGACTGAAGCAGCTGCGGTGGGAAGCCAGATGCTTCCCACCCCCGCTGCTTCATTTTCATAAACAAGAAGAAGTTGCTGCATATGACTGCTGCCTAATTGTTGTGCACCAGTGGGCCACAGAGGGAATTAGAATATGGACCAGACCCCTACAGGATCCTAAATTGCCACTGTCTGATCTTTACTCCTGGCTTGTTTATTTATTTTTTGTTTGTTTGTTTTTCTCTCTCTCCTAAAATACCTAAGGCCTGGGGTTGGGCTATTGCATCTAAAAAGCATCATGGAGACCATAGCCGACTGCTTGGGAATGTCAGGGGGCTCCAGCCCATCCTGTGTACAAGTGTCAAGGGTTGTAAGGGTCTTGACACTCACGATGCTCCATGATAGTGCCAAAGTTAGATTCTGAACATGGCCTGCACTGCTAAGCACCAACAAAATGTCCTCTACCTGGATCCCCTCCTCCAGAGCTGGCAGTGGCAGGGGTGAACCAGGGCGTGGGCAGCGTGTAACAGGGCCAATGGAGACCTGAATCCTTGTGAGAAGAGTACAGTTCCTGAGAGCCAGGAGCACCCACAGCTGCCTCAGGTCCTGAGCCCCTCTAGAATGCCGGGATGGACGGACAGCAAGGTGGCCACCCCAGTGTCTGCTCTACATTGCTCCAGGGCTACCTACCTACTTCAAAGAGCTGCTCGTCTCACACCTCTGGGTCCTGCCTATCCAGGAAGAGACCCGGATAGAAATTGCTAGGTACATGTCCTCTCTACCCAGCTTTCCCCTTGACCATCGGTCGTTAACTAGCACCACTACCCGGTTACCTTTACCATGGTCCCTAAACATGGCCGCCTTTACAGCTGCCCTTTTGTCTGGATGGGACTGAATACTAAACAGAGAATTTCATGTATGGCTTCAAAACAGAAGCCCATGCCAAAGCACCTAGAAACGGGCAGCCTGCAGAACTCTGTAGTGACTGACTAATAGGACCTGCACGAGATGCATTCCTTCCCCAGTACAGAACCTAAAACCTACTCTTGTAACAGTCAGTGCCCCTCCCCCTTCGCAATCCAAGTTTATGCTGCATATTCTTCTCAGATGCATCCACTTGGAGACACAGCACAGGCCACAGTGTGTGGCTGAGAAGCTCCTGGGTCAGGAATGCCTTCAAAGGAAACTTGTTATGAGCCCAGGGCTTCCGCCAGAGCAACTACAAGTCCCCTTGTGGAGACAAAGCAAACAGCCAAGACATGGATTATATACCCTTTTGATAGACAAGGAGCAAGCTGTCGATAAGTACACAGAATAGAACCCACAGGGAAGAATGGATGTGGACCCTGGAAATAGACACAGGGCTTGCACCAAAGTACCCGGGGGCGACCTGGGATAACCCGCCACTCCACTGTTGACACTCAGGTTGAGGGTGGTATAAAATCCCCAATGTACCCTCTGTGCATGCCAGTTGCCCTCTGCCCACCCCCCACCCACCAGAGCCCAGCTGTGCCAAGTGCTTTGCTTCCAAATGGAACCTCCTTTTGGCCAGTGATTGACAGACTGCTCGGGCCAGAGTGTGTTGGCTACCAGGGCTGACGGAACGAAACTTCCAGTGGGTACTTTGCTGGATTGTCTCACAGGACGCAGCTGTGACGGCGGCAGATGTGGGGAATCCTGAGGATGAGGCGTCACCCTGGGTGTCTTCTCGCAGTGTTGTGGCCCCGTTCTGGAGGTGCAGCTGTGCAGAGGACCTCACTGTGTTGAGTTACGGTTGTGGCATACGACAGGGGCCACATAGCAACATCCTGATCAGAAATGGAGGTGTAAAGTGAAGGCAAAGAGAGCCATCTACTTTCCCAAACCTGGTCACGAACAACTCCAGAGAAAGTCTCACAAAGGGCTCAGAGTGACTGGGTCGTTACCCGTGTGTCCAGATGGTGTAACCTGATTCCTGGCAAGTATTAATATTATAATGTCCCTAAAATTATTGCAGTATAGCCACTAAAGGGCTGTCTTGAAATTTGCGTGGTCAGCGTGGCTAAAATCTAGCAAGCCACGTGCCAAACCAGCAAGTGCCTTTGCTGAGAACAAGATATATGAAAAGCGACTCAGATGCACATAGAACCGAGGTGAGGGTGCCAGGTATGGATACAGAATTGTTGACAAAGCTGTCTTTTCTAAAACCAAGATTTACCTATCAAAAATAAATTTCTAAGTTTAGATGGATGTATCAACATAATTGGTCTGTCGAATTTTTCTTAAGTAGTTTTCACACTCCCCAAGCTCAAGGCAGACGGCTTCTCAGCTTTGGGATTCTTGCTTAGGACTGTTCTTCGATTCCCCGAGCAAAGAGGCGCACCAGCTGGCAGTGGACCCTGCAGAGATAAACAGCTGCATTTCAACTGCACGTGTGTTCCATTGTTCACAGCCGACCTGAGCCCCTCACCTCCCAGAATCCTACGGTTCTACCTTAGTCCCCAAATGTGCACAACCACACTAAATCAATAGCCTGTTTTCAAAAGACAGCTTGCTTTATTCTCCCTATGGAGAAAGACTTCGCTTGCTCTCTTCTCTTGGGGTTCTACCTTAGTCTCCAAATGTGCACAACCACACTAAATCAATAGCCTGTTTTCAAAAGACAGCTTGCTTTATTCTCCCTATGGAGAAAGACTTCGCTTGCTCTCTTCTCTTGGGTTCTATCCCTATAACACATGTTAGGGAAGAAATGCCCCCTCCCCCCAGCAACAGTGAACATGCAAGCGAGCCTCCCCCAGCCTACTCATAGCTTGGATGCTGGGCACTCAGGCCTAGTCTATGAGTTACAGGGGTAACCTGTGTTCTGAAGCTTGGCTCAGAGTGACTCTGAGCTCCCCTTGGGAACCTAGGTGACTGAATGGGCAAAGTCACTCAGAGCCAGTCATCTGGCTCTGGCCTCTTGCGCTTACTGGCCACTCTAAACTTCTGAGGTCCCCAAGGCTGTATGACCTCTCCAGGCCCCTCTGAGACTCCACCTCCCTCTTTTTCTGACAGCCTCGGGATACTCTTCCCAGTACCTCAGGCTCCTGCCTGGTGCTTCTCATCTCTACCTTGTACACTTATCCTTGACCATGAAGGCAAGATACTTTGTGAGGGAATTGAGGAGATCCAGCATTTAGGAAGTACTCATGAAGCCAGTTACTTTTGGTTATTTTTCTAACTGGGGTGTGTGTGTGTGTGAATATGACAGACAGAGACCGAGACCAGGGACAGAATGCAGAGTATAGGAGAGAAAGAAACAAGAACAGAGGAGCCTGAAAACCCCACGGATATGCCTGTAAAATCCAGCACCACAGAGTCAGCGCTGCCCCATGCAAACTTCAGATCCCACAGCTTCCACACCCGGCATAAGGCCACGGGGAAGCAACGCCTCCTGTTTTCTGCCACAAACCCCAGCGAGCTCTTGCTGATATCTGGCATCCCACCCGCTTACCTGACCTCGATGGCAGGGCTGTGCAGGATCTCCCCATCACAGTTCCAGGAGCTTCGAGAGGGCGAGCAGCTGCACGTGGGGCTGTCTGTGCAGATCTGCCCAAATCCCTGCTTCCCGTTCTCCTTCAGGTCGTTGTCCTCGTCGTCCACGTGCTTCGATGTGAACTGGAACTTCTTGACTCGATAAACTTCGACAAAAGTGAAGTCAAACTGCCGAGGCAAACGTCGTGGGGGCGCCAGCCCATCAGTGAGACCAACCTTCCAAGCCACCAGTCCTCCCCATGTGACATCTTACAGACAGTATGCACGCAGCCCTCCCAGGAGCGTCAGACAGCTGCTGATACCTTTGATGTCTCAAATCTGAGGCTAGAGAGATGGCGCAGGGGCTAAGGGCCCATACTGCTTTTGGAAAAGAGCCAAGTTTGGTTCCCAGCACCCGCATCAGGTGGCTCACAACTACTTGCAACTTCAGCTCCAGGGGGTCCAATGTTTCTGATCTCTACAGGTAACTGAACTCACATGCTTATACCCACACACGGATAGACAAACAGATAGATACACACACACACAATATTTAAAAATCCTCTACAGATATGAGTACTCTAAAGAACCATATGATTCATTAGTGGTAATTTGTAGGATTCTCTATTTTTAAAAGTTAATTATTTAATCGTATGTTTGGGGTGTTGCTTACATATATGTCTATGCATGATGTGCCCGCCTGGTGCCCATGAAGGCCAGAAAGAGATATTGGGTACCTTGGAACTGGAGTTACAGACAACTGAGAGCCATCGTGTGGGTACTGGGAATTGAACCCAGGTCCTCTGCAAGGACTACCAGTGCTCTTAACTGCTGAGCCACCCCTCCAGGCCCTAGATTTCTATTTTGAAATGAAATTTACATGAAGGAACAGGTAAGGTTGACAGTATGAAATGCACATCCAAAGATGATCTCTCCTTGCAGTTAACAGAGCCTACCAACTAGCGGGGCAGGGATTGCCCAAATGTCAATGACCCTACCTGATCGTCCGCGTTGGTGTGCCGGACAAGGAATCTCAGGAAGTTGAACCTGGAGCACTTCCGGATGAGGATGAGGTCAGAAGATCCATCTCCCAGATGGGCAGCTGGGGACAGGCCCCCAGGGCTCCGGGGACACGCACAGGACATGTTGGTGGCATTGATAGCCAGGAACTTCCCACATATCACTTGCCACTCTTCCACTTCCTCTGTGGTGGACAACGGATGGGCACCACGGTTCATGTGGGGCAGAGGCAGAGGCACAGCGGCAAGGGATTGGACCACTCTCCCTCTTGCTCTGGCTCTTGGCTTTCATTCTGGCCTGACTACATACCATGGAACTACCCACTCACCTCAGGACCCAAGCAGGTCTTGTGGGAGCAGGTCATTTCCCTACTCCCTGTAAAAGCGCTTTTGGACAGCAGTTTAACAAGGGTGAGTAGGCTGTTGTGGAATATTATTTTAACTGGGCAAAGATGTGTTATACTCATTTATGCTGCATTTGTTTGGTGATGTGGGTTTAATTATGTCAAGATGTGTTGTGTTTCACTTTGCTTGTCTAAGGCACCTGATTGGTTTTTTTTAAAAAAAGCTGAATAGTCAATAGGCAGGCAGGAGAGATAAAAGCAGGGCTGGCAGGCAGAGAGAATAAACAGAAGTCTATGTGAGACAGGGGAAGAGGAGGAAGAGAAGAAGAAGAAGAAAGAAGAGAACAAGGGTGGGGAAAGGGCACGCCAGGGCCAGAAACCAGTCAGCAGCCAGCCAGACCCGAGAAGCAGTGAAAGTAAGATAGACAAAGGAAGAAAGGTAAAAAGCCACGAGGCAAAAGGTAGATGAAGAGAAGCAGGTTAACTTAAGTTAAAAGAGCTACCCAGAAACATGCCGAAGCTAGGCTGAGCATCCATAACTAATACTAAGTCTCCGTGTCATGGTTTGGGAGCTGGTTGGTGTCCCAAAAGAAAAAGCCTGGTAGAGCAGACCTCTGCAGGGGTTAATCTGGCCTGCCAGCTCTCTCTATATGACTATATAGGCTAAGAATGGTTGCCACAGATTTAAAGAACAACAGCTCGCAGGTGAATACTCCATAAAACTCCAATCTCAGAGGCCATAGACAGTGCTACGGGCAGGTGACACACCCACTTATCCACATACAGTAGCTGCCATTCTTCAGGGTAGGGGTGTAACCAAGTCCTTGTAACTAGAGCAGAAGGCCCTCATTCAGCCAAGCCCAAACAGGGTACCTGCCAATCCATATTCCATAGCAGCTGGAACGGCAATGCCTTGGCTCTGGTCAGCCTTGTGACAGCAATCGAAGGCCTTGTCACGAATATCTAGGTGTCCTAGCATCTCCAAAGCTGCAGTGATTCGCTGCTGCCTAGAGCTAGAGCTAAAACTAACACAGTATAACCAGGAAAAGCGGGAGATAAGGCGGACAGCCAGAAGAGGCCATGCCCTGAGAGCCACACTCAAGACTACACTGGGAAGATTACCGGCATTCTCCAGGCCGTACAGGGCTTTCTTCTGTTCCTCTTCCAGCTGCTGCTTGCTCTGCCTGCACACGAAGCACCTGGAAGACAGCATGGTCACTGTGTCTCTAGTGCATGATTGTACATTTCAACAACGGAGCCCCTGGTCCCCACACACAGAAAAGCATTTAAACTCTTTGTAGATAATGAAAAGGCTCAAGTTTCAAAGGCGTCAACCGCAATTCTTCAGCAGACTACTTTTTTGAACTCTCAAGATCAGACCTAAATTCACACCCATTAATCAGCTTGCAGACACCTCTGGGACTTATTAACTGCCTAGCTTGGGATGCATCAATGGTGACGCGAAAAATCTACCAAGCATCCTTAGAGTGAAAACGCCTTTACCTCAGGTAACAAGTGTGACGAGCCTATGCTCCGGGCAGTAAGTAACTCAGAGCTGAGCCACTGACTCAGTGCAGACTTCTCATCTAGGTGCGGGTGCGGCCGGCCTAGTCTCGAACCTGCGCCTTGAGTCTGCACCATTGCAAGGACATAGCTGCTGTGCACATCTCCAGGATGGGACTGTTGAGCCAGCTCTTCTGGAAGCATCGGTGAACTGGGAAGCCCTACGCAAACCTGTGAAACTTAGGGGCTTCCCTCTGTGTTTAGAAAGTCCTTCTGCATCCCTGTCCTACCAGGAACAGTCTCCCAAACAGCCCTGCACACATCAAGTCATTTACAGTGGGAACCCACGTGGAAATGCACCTGCTTACCCAGCCCGGCAAGGTTTCTTGTCCCGTGGAGATCCCACTGTGTGCTGCGCTGGGAGGAAGGACACTGTCCCTTCATAGTATTGATGAGAGAGAAAGGTTTTCAACCCTGGGAAGAAAAGCAATCAAGAAAGAACCACATGTCACTGCCTGGTTATGAGGGTCCTTACATACTACCACCACCATCACCAAGAAGACAAGGGTCTGGGGAGGTGGCTCAGCCGACAAGAGCACTGGCTGTCCTTCCATAGGACCCAGGTTGGATTCCCAGAACCTACATGGTGGCTCACAACCATATGTAATTTCAGTTCCAGGGGATCTGACGCCTCTTCTGACCTCCATAGGCACCAGACATGTATGCGATGCTCAGGCACACAATCTAATAATTTCTTAAAAAAGGAAAGACTTCTAGGAAGCTGACCCGTCTGCAGGGGGAAGTGTGCATGCGACACTGCTACTGTACCAGAAGGAGATGCAGATTCTGCCCTCCCCACCGTGGCCCAAGGAACAGCACCACAGCAAAGCTGCCGGGGAGAGGTGCGGTCAGAGTTTTAGCCACATATCCAGGCTACCTTCAAGTTGCCAAAGCAGGGTACTCGGCAACAGTGATCTTACATGAACTCAGTGGTGTGCCCTGTGTGACCTGATGGCTCAGGGTCTCTACTACCCTCGTAAATGTAGTCAGCAATGCCCCTGCCTCCTGTGTGCTTAACCCCTGCCAGAGTTGTTATCCACAACATTAGAGTTCTCCTGGATGACCTTAGGACCAAGGTCAGGGTGGTACTGCCTGTCTCCTAAAGGGCCTGCTGTGCCATGCTATCCATGGTGACAATGGCATGGTGTGTGTCAGGATGGGCAAGGCTAGCAGGGTGGACCACTGGGCCTCTGATAGCAGAGAGTGGGCAGAAGGCACGGGAGAGTCCAGGTATTGCCCTACAAGTCTTAGGTGACCACTGCTCTGAGTCTAGCTGGGCTTGCTGTGGTCCTGCACGACCTCTTTGTCTAGTTTATGTATGTTGGGATGCGATGCTCGCCTTGAGGCATTCACCCCAGCTAACCCCTAGTACACCAAACCCTTCCATTCCACACAGGGGCTAGGCTCCACTTTGTCGAGGCCTCACCTACAAGGCCACAAGCACCTGTCCTCCGGGGAGGAGGGTCCTGGCTCCTTCCACCTCTTCTGGGTGGCCCTCAGGTGCTAGTCCCCTATGCCAGGTTCTAGGTCCAAAAGCACGCAAGGGTAACTCTGTGGAGAATGGCTCTGGATCATGGGCTTCTGCTGCCTCTGTCTGCATGCTGGCACTACCTTCTCTTTCCACTTACTCCCGGTGGGCCCCAGGAGATGTCCGGTGTCCAGCACCCTAGAGGAGCGGACCCACGGTGAGTAGTCTGGTAGTTGTGTGTGGTGTGCAACACTGAGCTCTAATAGGACACTGGGGACAGTTGTCTCGTCACAAGCAGAAGCCTCTTTCTGAACCCTAGCTTCCCACCTCAGCTACAGTCGGCCAGTCCTGGCATGTCTGAGAGTCTAGGAGGGAATTCTCCATTTCACGCCATGCTCTCCTTCGTATAGCTCCCAGCTGCCCAGTACAGTGGATATTTTCCACCTCACGGCAGCCAAACACCAACATCAATGGGCGTGTGCTAACACCCTCAAGCGGCTCCGAAAGGACTGTAATGTGGTGGGGACACAGACCAGAGCTGCTTCGCCTGAGAGGAAGGATGGGGCTCCTCAGATGTGTTCCGAGAGGACCAAGAGTGAAGGCACTGGCCTGAGACTCTGGACCATCAGGAGCTTCCCATTCCAGCAGAGGGGCAGGCGCAGTACCTCAATGTGGACATAGTCACTGTTTGCTCAGCACCCAGAGCCATTTTCTTCTGGAAGGGCTGGCTAAATGTTGTGCCTCTGCCACCCCACAGTGTCCTCTCATGGGAAGAGAGGTGGGTTCTGGTGCTCGGAGTCGTGAAACTTTACAGTTTTGCCGATGGCAAACTGTACAGAACAGGGCCCAGGCTCGGGGGATGCACTAAACACAGGAAAGGGATTCACCTAGCCTACCAGAAAGCCATGCCCTGCATTTCACATTTTGTCCCTTAACTTCCTCTCCTTGGCATTTTAAACCTGATGGGGGTGGGAAGAGGACCCACCCACTACTTGAAACCAGCAAGTGGTAACTTTTGGTGTAGCCTGAAGCTGACATGCATTTCTTGTTCATCGTAGCTTGGTGATCAGAGGGGACATGGCTATTACCGAGGGCTCTATCTGCTTTCCAAGGGCACTGTTTCAGGGCTGCCCCATATCAGATGTACTTTGGGAAGGCCCTGATCTGGGCTCTAGCAAGCCTCCCAGGGACACTGATGCCTACCTCCTCTGAGACCCACTGACCTGCAGGAAGAGTGTCACCAGACCTCGGCAAGTCATTTAAGCTTACTGTCTTAACTGTGAAATGGGGACAGAGTCTCTGCTGCACAATAGGAGGGCAAGGGAGGACGAAGACCTCCTGTCTAGTCCTCCCCCTCCCTGCTGGGGTTCCAGTGAAGCAGATGCAGACCTGAGACCTCTCCTGTCCTGGTCAGGTACACATTCTCACAGATGTTGCTGAACAGCTGGCTGATGGCCGCTACTATAGAAAGAAGCTCGGGAAGATGGTGCATTGGCAGAAGGGAAGGAAGGGAGTGTGCATCTGGAGGGCAGATGCCCAGGGCTGCTGCACTGCTTCACAGTGAAGCTTCCTCTCACTTCACCTGCTATGCTCAGGGTGACCGTAAAAATAATCTTTTCCAGCCAGGTGGTGGTGGCACATGCCTTTAATCCCAGCACTCTGGAGGCAGAGGCAGGCAGATCTCTGTGAGTTCGAGGCCAGCCTGGTCTACAAGAGCTAGTTTCAGGACAGGCTCTAAAACTACAAGTGAAACCCTGCCTCAAAAAGCAAAACAAAACAAAAAAAATCGTATCCTGTGAAAACATCTACCTTGACCCCTACCACTTCCATGACAGACGATAAAGCCATACTCCAGATCCACAGGCCTCCCTCAATCTAGTTCTGACACAAGCTGGGACTCTGAGGGGGACAGGATCTGGGGCACAATAGCTAGGGTCATGTCCCCATCTGGAAAGCAAGGCCCCCCGCCGAATCTGTCCCTGGGGGCACTGTACGAATTAGCTCCATGTCCGTGGACACGCGTACCTGAAAAGTCGTATCTGACGAGGCCCATCCACCGCTTCTTTTCACTGTCCTTGATCAGGTCCCCGTAGAAGCCGTAGCCCAGCAGAGACACCGAGTACCGCAGCAGTGTGCTGTTGTGATGCACAGAGGACACGTCTATGGCCAGCGAGTCCCCTGTGGGAGAGGAGAGCTGTAAAGGAACCCTGTCCCCATTTGACCTCCTCTACCCTGCCTCTGCACATACAGGAGGTGCCTGCCTGTTACAAACACAAGAAACAGAACTCGTTCAGTGTAGCGACCTGGGTGACGACACTCAGATACGACAATGACATACGACTGTGAATACGACTGTGACATCTGTCACACCACCGCAGGCGGCAGGGTAGATCTGGCTGACCTGGCTGGTTAGGTGGGTGGCCCCTGTCTCCTACATTGCTTCATCGGGTCCCTCCCAGAGCTGCTCACTCAGGCAGAGAGGATGACCTTCCTGGATAGAGGAAGCCCACTCTTGGGCCAGGGTATGTGCTGGAACCTCTAAACGAGTTCTCCAGTGACAAAATTTGGCCCCTGTTTCCAAGCAAAGGTCTGAGAACTGTTCTGAAGGGCGGGCAGGATGCGTCCAGGAGGGATGTCCATGACACTGACAGAGGAAAGTAGGCATGAGGTTGAAAACAGGTACACAGCGCTTCAAACACAAAGTCTGCCAAGTGTGGTGGCGCACGCGCCTGCAATCCCAGCACCCAGGAGACTGAGGCAGGGGATTGTGAATTTGAGGCCAATATAGACAATATAGAAAAGGCTTGTCTTGAGAAAAAAATAAAAAGAAGTTACACTTGGGAAGCAGAGGCAGGCGGATCCCTGAGAGTTTGAGGCCAGTCTGGTCAGCGTAGTAAGGACCAGCCAGCTGGTGGTACATGATGAGACCCTGTCTCAAAGAACAGCCAAACCAACAATAAGATCCCAAGTGGTTATTTTAAAATACAGCATTTTCATGACTGCAAGTAAGACAAGACCCTATAAAGAGTGATGGAGTGGGCAGAGCCACCAGCCATTTCTCAGAAACCCCAGAGCTCCTCCTCCTCCTGTGGGGTTTCTCACTTGGGACTGGAGCAGGGGCTGGGTGTGTCTGTCACTCACCCTGGAGCCTTGCAGGTGTTTCACAATGGGGATTAGCCCTGGTAGCCAGTTAAGAGAGAAGAGCAAAGGAGAATCTGAGGCAGCAGGGCCACAATGACATTAGCAGGGGCCTGGGGTCTGTGCATAGGACACCCACATGTATAAGACAGGACTTGGGGCTGCAGAGTCAGCTCAGTGGTTAAGAGCACTTGCTGTTGAGAAAGACCTTGGTTCAATTCCCAGCACCTACATGGAGGCTCACCATCTCCTCAGGCAGCCTCACACATGTGGTACACAGATGTACACACAGGCAAAACACTCGTACACATAAAATCAAATACAAAAACCTAGGAGAGAAGCCTGGACTCACCAACAATGATGTGCAGAGCAGACGTCTCTGCATCGTTTGTGCCCACTGTTGAGTAACACACACAATCTGTGGACCCTGCAAAAAGGACAGGAAAGCCCTTAGTGCTAATGGAACTGTCCAAAACTGTAGCTGACTTCCAGCCAGCTGATTCTGTCCTTCTCTGGCCCTGGAACAGCTGGAGAGTAAAAAGAATCCACTCAAAAAATGAAGGTTGAAAATACTAAAAACGGCCTTCTGGTCATGTTGCACAGCTCTGTAAAGTGGCCTGCAGCATACCCAGACACAGAGACGGCCCTGAACCCTCTTGCAGCTTCTAAGACGTGTCTGCAATGCAGGCAGCCACTTCCCTCTCTTGTAAAGCTCTGGAAGGTATGTGGCCCTGCCCACCTCTACATAGCTGCTTGCAGTGCCTCACAGCCTCCCCTAGCCCTTAAGAACAAAGGGAGTCCTACACAGAGCACAGTCACGGGGAAGTACACGGCAGACCAAGTGAACTGTGAAGGTCTTAGTTCTTATTGTCAACTTGGCACAACCTACACAAGCTGGGAAAGAGACTGCCTCGATCAGATTGACCTGCGGCCATGTCTGGGAGGACTCGGCCCACTGTGGGTGGTGTCATCCTAGACAGATGGACCTGGGCTGTATAAGAACGCTAGCTGAGCATGAGCCAATGGGCAAGCTAGTTAGCAGCACTCGTGGTTTCTGTTTCCAGCCCTGCTTGAGTGAGCACCTGCCCTGACTTTCCGTAGTGATGGACTAGGACCTGGAAGAGCAAGATGAACAAGCCCTTTCCTCCCTTAGCTACTCTTGGTGATGGTGTTTTACCACAGTACCAGAGAATTAACTAGAACCAGAGCCTGAGATGACCCCAGCTTTGCTGGAGCACCGTCCCTCTTCTGCTGGGAGCACAGAGGAGGGAGTCGCACCCCCAGGCCCCTGGCACCACCTTCCTTGCTCAGCCTAACCAGCGCCTCGCCTAGCCAGGGGTAACCATGACCGCACTGACTGATCAGTTCCCTCCTACCTCTCCTTGACTTCAAGGTCAGGAGACAAAGGTGTCCAGCAGCTCTTGTCCACCACGACCACCCCCATCCCTGTTGCATTGCCCTGCAGTCCCCACTGTGACATCAAGCGAGAATCTGCTGCCTGCCTGCTGCTCAGCACGGGAGCTGTCACCTGACTGCAACAGTTGGGCAGAAGTCAGAGCTGAGTTAGCACCACGAGAGTATTTGACCAAAGAAATTCATTTTGTGCTTTAACGAAGTGAAAGAAACATCAGGCTTTTGAAGCAGCTGGACCCTGTGGAGGTGACACGAAGCCACCGCTTCAGATTTCATCCCTAGGACAGGCGGGTCACACGTCCGCTTGCTGTTCCTCTGTGAAGAGGCTGGATGTGGCTACAAAGGCTTTCATTCACCACCCTATTGATACGGCCAGGCACGACCTTGGCATTAAGGGTCAGGCTGAAAAAAATGATGTCTGCTCACAGTAACCCTTGGATCCCCTACGCACTGGATGGTGGCAGTTCTCTGACTGCTTAGTCTACAGGCCAGCAGCCAACTGGAGCTCACAGTCCTGGTGGCACAGGAAAGATCCAGTTTTGGGCACGGCCCCTGCTAAGCAGAGGTCAGTTCCCTGAGCTTCTTTGAATAACATCACATGTTACTCATGTGGCAACTTCCATAGAATCAGGAGCTTCGCTGTGGTCCCATAGGTCACTCTGATGGCCACAGAATGACTTTTAAGGGACCTGCTAACAGTAAGGGCTCTCATCTTTGACTAGGAAACTAACTGGCATTCCTCAGGGTCTCTCGGCCAGCTTGCCTTCATCTCAGAGGACTGGGTCTTTGGCGAGCATGCTCATCAAGCCTGCCGATGAAGCTCCTCCCTCAGGCACAGCTAATGTCCCTCCAAAGCTTTTCCCCAAAGTGCCCTCAGACACACTGAGGAGTGTGCTTTCCCAATCTCCCCAGCTCTCAATCCAGTCAAGGTAAAAGTCAAGATCATCACACTGTGTTTTCTAAGAACTAGGAACTTTCTAGAAAGGCATTTAGCACACCAAGCCAGACAGACACCCTCAGGACACAGTCTAGCCCCCACATCTTCCTCCCATAGTGGGCAAAGTCCTGTCCTGGCTTCTGTCACCGCCTCCCCATCTGGGTCCCCTCCTGAGGTCCCAGGACTCCTGGGCAGATTCCTTCAGCCTTCACCAGCTCCAGATCCCAGCTCTCAGGTCAATTAGAAGCCATGTCTAACAGACAGCCACCCCCAAAACCTGTCTCTGTCTCCAGGTGCCAGGTACCTCCTGACTCCAGGCTAGCAGCACACTGGCCCCCAGCTGTTGGCAGGGACTGTCCTATGTGCTGCTGGACTCTCAGAGCACCGGGATAAGGGTCTTCCCAGACACTCAGTCATCTTCTTTCTACTATTCATAGCTTATCTCACAGAAAGGAGTGTAGTAATGAGAAATTATAAAAATCACTTAAAAAACAAACAGGGAAACAGGATCTAATGTTACCTAGGCTGAACTACTATGTAACAGAGGATAATCTCAAACTCCTGACCCTCTTCTCTGCCTCTTGATTGTGGAACCACAATTTAAATGAAGGATGAACCAGGAATGACATCTCCCTACTTGAAGCCTAATCCTAGGGAAGCTTTACTAATGAAGAAGGTTGGGGTATGGCCTTATGAGTGGAGATGCCTGTGGCTGTGCATGGAGATGTCTTCCTAACGACAACAGTGATGAGAAAGTCATACGTGTGCCATACCTGCAGGGATGATGCCAATCCTGAGGGTGCTGGGCACCAGCACGGCTCTGGGGTGATTGGGGTCAATGCCAGCACTTTGTTGCGTCCTCCCAATCAACCCGTGCAGCACCTCGCTGAACATACCATCCCCGCCGACACACACGATGCTGCAGGAGGAACACAGGTCCGTCAAGCCCACTAGTCCTCTGCTTGGAGCAGCTGGGAGCCTCAAGCACTGGGGACAGCATGCAAGACTGGCCTGTCATGTTCGAGACCAGCCTGGTCTACAAGAGCTAGTTCCAGGACAGGCTCCAAAACCACAGAGAAACCCTGTCTCGAAAAAAAAAAAAAAAAAAAAAAAAAAAAAAAAAGACTGGCCTGTCAGACACCTGGAAACTGGGCACCTGAACCACTCCCTATTCGATGAGGTCCTGCCAGCCTGTTTATTCTCCTTTCTCAAACAACAGGCTTCTTCACAGACCCTGGCTTCCCTGCTAGAGATGTAACATTTTGGTGGTTTCTAAGCAGAGGGTATATGTGTGCCCAGCCCTGGTCAGCCATCATGGATAACCTATGGTTTGGGGGCTGCAGAGAGGGCTCAGTGATCAAGACCATGTACTGTTCTTCCAGAGGACGTGGGTTCAATTCCCAGCACCCACACGGCAGCTCATAACTATCTATAACTCCAATTCCAGGGAATCTGATTCCCTGTTCTGCCCTCCATGGACCAGGCACAAACATGGTACACACATTTACATATACGTAAGCAAACCACTATTTACATAAAATACAAAATTAAAAAATTAAATGAAACTATAGCTTGACCTGGGTAGCTTAGTGGCAAAGCACTTGCCAAGCACACAAACACCCTGGTTTAGTGCCCAGCACTGCAAAAGTAAAGATTAAAAGTTAAAAAGCAGAGTATTGAGATTCAGGCTGCTGAGCATGAATACGACCCCAGTGGAGGGGCATTTCTACCACATGCCCCCTAGTCAGGGGATGGCATGCAGTGTCCTCTTCTCTCGATCCAGTTGGGTGGCCTTGCTGTGCCCAGCAGTGGGCCTCAGATGCGAGGGGAACAGCTCCTATTGTCAACCCTCAGCTCTGGGCCCATCTTGGGAACTCAGAAAACGGGAGGAGAGGGGACTGAGTGAAAGCCAGGTAACATAAGTGGGGTCAGGGAAGCTAAGCGGGGAAGAGGGTGTGGGCAGGACAGGTCTTTACAGTGTGCTGTCTGGTGCGGAGGGTGGCTACAGAGTGGCATGGAGAAGTGTGGGCATGTGTGTGGAGGGCACATGTCCTGTGACATGGAGGGAAGGCCAAGGCCACGCTCACAGTTCAAGGCAACCCAAGAGCTCCCACAGGGTAGGTCAGGGATAGCATTCACTCACCCATCATAGCCGTCTGTGTTGATCTCATATAAGGTCTCCTTGGCTTGATTGGCATGCTCAGTAACTGTGGGGGAAATATTACACGGGACCATTCATCTTCACATCCTGGAACCCGTGTTTAAGCTAATTGCCAACTGATGCTCTTTTATGAGAGGAAGTCCCTCCTCAGACTCACCTCACCCCCCTTACAAAAGAGTAGGGAGTGCGGCAGCCTCCGTGGGAATCAGCCATCTTAGGGTCCGTTCCGCCTGCCGCCCTTTGCACTTGTCAACACGGACTTATTTTTAACTTATGTGCATGCGTGTCTGCCTACATGTATGTATGAGGACCATGTGTAAGTGGTGCCGACAGAAGAGGTCAGTGAATCCCTCCAGAAAGTGTTACAGGTGGTTGTGAGCTGCTGTGTGGGTGCTGGGAATTGAACCCTGGTCCTCTGCAAGAGCAGCCAGTACTCTAACCACTGAGTCATCCCAACAAATGATTTCTTTGACAGCCATAGAATACGTGCAGCCTCTGTTACACTTATTCCTTAATCTACAAGTTACTTTAAACTTCTTAGAATACACCAGAATGTAAGAAGAAGATAAGGCAGGGGCAGCTGGAGAGATGGCTCAGAGGTTAAGAGCACTGGCTGCTCTTCCAGAGATTCTGGGTTCAATTCCCAGCAACAACAGGGTGGCTCACAACCATTCTTAATCTGTAAGAAGGTGCCCTCTCCTGACATGTAGGCAGAACACTGTACACATAATAAATGTATCTTTTAAAAAAAAGAAGATAAGGCTAGCTCACAGTCCTTGTACTTAGTGTGATAAAGCAAAATTGTTAGTGACATTTACTGCTCACAATCTTTTTTTTGTTTGTTTTTGTTTTTCAAGACTGGGTTTCTCTGTGTGACAGCTCTGGCTCTGTAGACCAGGCTGGCCTTGAACTCACAGAGATCCACCTGCCTCTGCCTCCCCAGTGCTGAGATTAAAGGTGTGTACCACCTGGCTATCACAATTTTTCGTGGTTCAGAATCCTCTGAAAAGGCCCCTTTAAGCTGCTGTCTCCTGTTCCTCTGGATTTACCAGGATTCCATGTTCACATCTCCTGTTGGGGGCATCAGCATTGTTTCTAGCATCCTGCTACCGTGAAGCATGCTGGGACACCCGAGGGCCTCAGTCTTGGTGTGTATCTGACTGTACTCAGACTTGGGGAACATGGGATATTGGGATAACTTTTTCATTTTTTAGACTTTTGAATTGTATTGCTAATTAGTTTTTTCTGGATGCAGAGTCTTACTGTGAGACCAGGCAGGCCTCCAACACCTAGTCCTCCTGCTTCAGCCTCCCGAGTGCTGGGCTCACAGCCAGGGCCAGCTGCACTAAGTGTCTTGCTAACAGGGTTATATCAAGCCCCTGAAGGCCAGCAGGAGCAGTGGCCCATGTCTGCCTCCCGCTCTGAAGCCAGCACCGCACTGATGACAGACTGCTAGGACATGGTCTTAAGTCAGGGTGTGTAAAGTGACCCATGCTGTGACATTCTGGGACAGTCATTGCTCCTATCTTTCCCTGCAAGGACTTCCTACTGTCCAACTCTGCTCTTTAATCTCCTTGCTGTTCCTGTGAGCACTTGACCGGCTGAGTACATTAAGGGCATTATTTCTTTTGCAGTCTTCCAACTAAGAGTTTAAAAACTGCAACTGAATTTGAAATGATCAGTTAGGCCTAAGTCCCCCTCCAGTGCTGACATGTGAGTCCCTCTCAGGCTGGCCTCTGCATACTTGTCCTGGTGCCCAATACACTTACTGATGATTTCGGTGGTGATGGACGCCAAGGTGAACAGAGGTGCCACTTTTTTTTCATAGATGCGCTTGCCCTGCCCTTTCCCTCCAAAAGGGTTGATAAATACCAGCAAGTGCTTTGGTCTCGAAGCTGCAAAACAACATCCATACCAGTCAACGGCCAATCGCAATGGGTGCAAGAAATTCAAACTCAGTTAGTGCGCTATTGGTGAAGAGCAAATGGGTTCTGACACAGAATTCGTGGTCATCAAAGGAGAAAGGCGACCAGCTGCTGGGATGAGGGTGGGGCTGTGCACACGTGGGGCCTCAGCAAGGTCGCTGTCCTGGCCAAGTCTCATGGGCATGAGCATAGATGCCTCCGTCTGCCCATGGGAAGGACAAGGCTTTTGAAAACAAGAATGAGATGAGAATAGAGAGGGGCAGGAAGAGAGGAAGACAGACACACAGACAGATGAAACAACTGGATGGAAGATGGGAAGGGAGGCTCCCACAGCATCCTAGGCCTGGCTTCAGCCCTTCCCTCAGTTCCGGCCAGTTGCCTTGGTGTTGTGAATATTGTTATTACTATGGAAGGATGTGTTCCATTTGCTTATGTTGCAGAATATTTCTTTAACCATGTGAAGGTGTGCTGCATTTGTTTATGCTGCATAAAAACATTCTGGGCCAGCCTGGGGTACATGAGATCTACTCTCAAAATAAACAAGAAAAAGCAAACAAATGCAAAAGGAAGAAACTTAAAATATGTCTGCTTCAGATTTTATTATTTCTAGGTGTCTCAGAAAAGCTAAGTACAGGGCCAAGGAGATGGTTCAATAAACTTTTCACTGTGTATACATGAGGCCCTGAGCTCTGAGTCTCCGCACCCACAGAAAAGCCAAGTGAAGTACCAGGCATGGTGGTACATGCCTTTGATCCAAGCACTTGGGAGGCACAGGTTCGAGGCTAGCCTGGTCTACTATCTATAGTAAGTTTCAGGTTAGCCTGGGTCTACTATCTATAATGAGTTCCAGGCTAACCTGGTCTACTATCTACAGTAAGTTACAGGACAGAATAGCCAGGGCTATGTAGAGAAACTCTGTCTCAAAAAACAAAACAAAGCAAAAAAGCCAGGTGGAGTCCCAGAGTTGGAAAGGCAGAAATAGGAGGATTGCTGGGGCCGGCCGGCCGGCCAGTCTAGTCAAATCATTGAGCTCCAGAGGAAAAACCCTGATCTGAAGTCAGCCTCTGGCCTCCATACACATGCACACACAAATAGACAAATGCCTTCCTACTAAGAATTCCCGGGCCTATACAGTTTCTCCACTGAAGTCCCTCGAACAACTTAAGAAACCCAGTCTCCATTGTGTGCGACCCTTTCCAAGGGACAGGAAGAGAAGCATTTCTGAGTGATTCCTAAGAAGTCACTGCGACCTCTGAGGGATGTCAGACAGGGATGTTACATGAAAGGAAGCCACAAGTCTGCTTCTCCCGAAACCTAGGTGAGAACCCCTAAATGAGGCATCAGGAAGTCAGATGTAGTGACACAGAATGGGGGTGAAGATCACAGGCAAGATGGCTGCTCGAGCAGGACAAGCATTCATAACCAGACCCTTAGCATGTTTTACTAGCAGTCCTTAAACCCAACGCCTGTGACCAAACAAACGTCAAACAAGGCCAACTCAGAAAACTAGGTTTCTTAGAGAGAATTCCTCAATGTGATGAAGCTGATAGAGCCCTATGTTCCCTGTGGTATATCCATCCCCAAAGTCAGACTGAGACATCAGAGTTTGCTGTCTCAGCTTGTGTGAAAAGAAATAGGAGAGAGGTGATTGATACCAGCCTTAGAACTAATAAGCAGATATGACAAGGAGAATCGTAAACTTCTATTGATTATCTATACACAGGCAATAAAAAGAAAGGAAGGGAGGAGAAAGAAAGAGAGGGGAGGAAGGAGGGAAGGAAGGAGGGAGGGAGGGAGGAAAGAAGATCAATTTGTGGGCCAGATGTGGTCCTTCATACCTATAATCCTAACCCTTAAGAGGCTGAGGCAGGAGGATAATGAATTTGAAGCCACCTTAACTACAGAGTGAGGACTCTCGCCAGAGAACACACAACTGGCCTATGAAAACATATGAACATATTTCTCAAGCATCAGAGAAATGTAGATTAATACCATAATATAAAGCAACTAATCCCTGCCACACAGGCTTCCGAGCCGGTGGAAAGGACTCAGTGGTGGGTGTGTGAAGAGGGACCCTGGGTAGTGTCCACAGTCCAGTCCTCAGCACACTCTAGACAGATGCCACAGGCACACAGTGTCACATGCAGGGATGGTCTCTCCACTGTTATCCAGGCTGGCCCAGAGGAAGTCACGAAGATGGGCCTCGGCAGGGAACAACTGCACCATCAGGGCCGTGGATGCTGAGCAGCCACAAGAATGAACAACCACAGCCACCCAGGATAAAGGGGCGTGGTTTGCATTCGCGGTGTCCTTCTCAAAGCCAGCTGATGTTTGATGCTGTTTTATTCAAACTTATGAAGCGGGAAAACAAACAAAAGCAAGTCTAGTTTTTTGGAGGTCATGGCCATGGTGACCTCCGGGAAGAAGTGAGGCCTGGGGACTGACTGACTGTCCTGCCAGCCCTGAGTGTTGTTACATATGCTGAGAGTGAAAACACATTCAGAACACAACCACTTCTCTGGCTTATCCCAATAAAACCAGGGATTAATGGGTGGCCATTAAGATCTTGCAGAAGACTGGGGTTCAGCTCCCAGCACCCACATAGCTCAGTTCCAGGGGATCCAACACTTTTTTCTGGCCACCATGGGCACTGTGCACAAATGTTATGCACACATAAATGGAGTCAAAGTGCTCATATACATAAGATAAAAATTTTAAAAAATTAAAAAATACTTTAAGGGGCTAGGGTTGGGGCTATGGTTTAGAGCACTCGCTGCTCATGCCGAGGACCTGGCTGCAGTCTCCAGCACTGACAAAGTAGCTCACAACTCCAAATCTGGGGGGTCCGACACTTTCTTCTGACCTCCTTGAGCACCAGGCGTGCACATGGTGTACACACCTACAAGCAGGCAAAACGTTCACACACACACAAAATAGAGTAAGTATGAAGAGAATTTTAACTGCACTGAACACCTGGGGAGATGGTGCACTCAGTAAAGAGCTTTCAAAGCAGGCACCAGGATCAGTTCAATCGCCAGCATCCACGGTCATAGTTGGTACACACCCATGCAAACCCTGGGCTGAGGGGAGACAAGCGGACCCCTGGGGACCAGCCAGCCTAGCCTACCTATTCGATGAGTGGCAGGCCCCTGAGAGACACTGTCTCAAAATACAAGTTGGAAGATGAATGAGGAATAACGCCTAAGAGGGGTTAGGCAGGCAGGCAGGCAGGCAGGCAGGCACATGCGTGCAAGAAACAACAGAGCTCGAAGCTAAAACTAGAGCAGCTGAGAGCAGAGACTGCTTGCTGTTTGCTGGCTGTGGGGGATTCCTGTGCGCTATAGAGGAGTAATAAATCTCCAGTATTCCAGGGGAGTCTGAGCCTGCAGGATCAAGCCTGACTAATGACTCTCAGTCTCATGGAAACAAGACACCAGGCACCTGGTGGGAGGCGGGCCAAGCAGGGAGCAAGGGTGGGGTGGGGTGGGGATGGGGTATATGAATGTGGTGAGGGGGAAGAGTCTGGAGGCCAGTGGAGAAAGTTGAAGAAACTGAGGCAGCACAGAAGGTAGTAGCTAAGGGACAGAAACTTGGGGTGATCTTAAAAAGAGCAAAAGGTGGGGAACTCCAGTACCAGGGAAAAAAACAGAATTCAGAAAAACAGTTCTGGGGCTAGAGAGATGATGGCTCAGAGGTTAAGAGCACTGGCTACACTTCCAGAAGTCCTGAGTTCAATTCCCAGCAACCACAGGTGGCTCACAACAATCTGTAATGAGGTCTGGTGCCCTCTTCTGGCCTGTAGCCATACATGCAGGCAGAAAACTATACATAATAAATAAATAAATAAATAAATCTTTTAAAAAAAAAACAAAAAAGATAAACAGTTTTAATCACCCTCAGGTAATTGAGAGATGTGCTTCATGACTAGGTCTGGGAGTTGAGCAGTTTCAAATACTTTATAACCCAATTCTCCCCTCTCCTCTCCCTCACCTGCCCTTTTATTATGTACGTGTGGAAATAAGAGGAGACAACTTAAAGGAACTGGTCATCTCTTTCTGGTTTATAGGCTCTGGAGATGGAAGTGAGGTTGTCAGGCTTGGTGGCAAGTGGCCGTTCCTTCTATCTTTCGTTTTTCAGTGCTTTGAGACGGTCTCACTGTGCAGTCCGGGCCGGTCTGGAATTTGAAATCCCCCTGCCTGCCTCCCAGGTGCTGGAATTACAGGCATGTGCCACCATGCTGGTCTTTTATTATTTACTTTAATTTTTTTATTCGCTTTTTATTCCTTTATTTAGTATGAGTTTGTGCATGTGCTCAAGGGTGAGCACACTCGAGTGCGCATACGGAATGTGTGGAGGTCAGAGCACAGCTTAAAGGATTTGGTTCTCTCCTTCCACCACAGAGGTCCTGGGGATTGAACTCGGGTCTGTGTGTTGGGAGTAAGTGCCTTTGCCCACTGAACCATCTCACTGGGCCTATAATATAAATTTTTTTAAAATGCTTATGTACAACATTGAACCTATAGAATAGGTTTTGGGTTTTTGTTTTTGTTGGTTTGGTTTTCCAAGACAGTTTTTCTATAGCTTTGGAGCCTGTCCTGGAATTAGCTCTTATAGACCAGGCTGGCCTCGAACTCAGAGAGATCCGCCCACCTCTGCCTCCCGAGTGCTGGGATTAAAGCTGTGCACCACCACTGCCCGGCTGAATAGTTTTAACCTTTGTACATGAGGTTATAATATGACCCAGTGTGACAGGTGCAAAAAGAACAGGATGCCATGTTCAAGGTGACAGAGAAAGAGTCCCTTAGCACAAACTAACCAGGCATTGGGCTCTGCTGCATTTCAGAGGTCACACCCCCAGAAGGTAAGAGGTAGTTCCCCCACATCCTGCCCACTCCTCATTTGCAGCTGGAATGTATGTGCCTCCACTCTGCTTATAGAGAAAGAAACTGAGGCTTTGGGGCCTGAGGGATTTGTCTCAGTTCCCCTGCTCATGAGCAGGGGCTGCGCCACTACTCCGGCTGTGGCGTCTACACACTTCTCCTCCACTGTGGCCCTCTACCTCACAAACATAAAAACAAATCAAAGGGAGCCATCACGTCCACCTGGGTCAGGTCACTGAGTCCCGCGTGCCACCACAGCTGTGCTGCCTGGCAACAAATCCGAAAGCTCGCGCACGTACTCAGGCTCTCCAGCAGCTCACGAAGGGTGTGCAGCCACAGGTGACACAGCTGCTCATCGGCACTCCAGAAGGTCACCTGTGCCGCCTTCCAGCGGTGATGGCGCGCTCGCTTCACACAGTGGACTGTATAGAAAGCAACACAGGTTAGCCAGGCCGACAGCCACGGCAGTGAGACCTCGCGAGCTGCAGCACCCTAGGTGTTCCTGGTCTCCCATTGTCATCTCACGGCAGGAGTGCCGGGATCACCAAGCAACCATCTTGGGGAGTTCAGCTGGGAACCCTTGCAAAAGATCCGCCTCCTCCTCCCTCCGCAGCTGGGCTAGTTGAGTTTACACCCACTATATAGAGGCTCGGATTAGGGCAAGAAGTTCTCATCTGATTACCCAGTCGGGCTCTACCACCTGGCAGGGCAGCCCGAGGCCAGGGGGTGGGGCTAGAATATATAGAGGCAGGGAAATTACAGCTGGGCATCGTCTATGTGGCTAGCGGGAAGTCCTCACCACGGCTGGGTGAGGTTTTCCAAGGCCTACTGGGGGAGAGGTACCCACACCCCTGTAAGTAACCCCTCACCTATGTTCTATAAAGAATCTCAATAAAGTCATTGGTTTCCTCAGAGTGACCTTTGGTGCTAAGCTGCCTGTGTTTGTCCTTGGGATCTCGGGAGGAGGGAGAATTTTAGCAACACATGGCAATCACTTTATATTCTGAGCCACCTCCCCAGCCCAGAAAGAAGATGTGAATCATCGCTATCAGTAAATCTATGGGTCTGGAGAGATGGCTCAGGGGTTAAGAGCACTAGCTGCTCTTCCAAAGGTCCTGAGTTCAATTCCCAGCAACCACATGGTAGCTCACAACCATCTGTAATGAGATCTGGCGCCCTCTTCTGGTTTGCAGGCATACATGCAGACAGAACACTATATACGTAATTAATAAGTACATCTTTAAAAGAAAATAAAGAGTCTATGAAAATAAGCCAATCACTGACCCGACAAACACCCTTCTCTGTGATCTACATGGAGGCCTGGTAGGCACCAGGCTCCCTCACCTGTGAATGCGAACGGGTTTTCCATTTTCTGCCATCGGCCACTAGAGGACTGCTTCTCGTGAACATGTGTTTCCTCAACCGCAATGATCTCTGACACCAGCACGGAGCAGGCATCTGCAAAGATACCACGTTTAGATCTAGTGCGACAAAGACAGAGACCAGCAACTCCAAAGGCTGCAGATGCTCATTTCTCTTCTCATTAGACACCCAAACAGAAAGGAAGGCTAGGGCTGGGGAGACGGCTCGGAGGGTCAAAGTGCCTGCCTCCAAGCTTGAGGGCCTGAGCTGGATCCCTGGAATCCGCACAGGTGGAAGGAAAAAGCAAACTTCCGCAGGTTGTCCTCGGGAAACCACAGGCACACCATGGCAACACCCCCCCCCCCCCCCCCGTCACTCCGAGCTAAGTAACAAGAGGCAGCTTGATGTCATCAAAGGAGAGGTTCAGGCTGTGACTTTTCATGGGATCTGCTCAGCCATTTAAGCCACAATGCTGGGGGTCTCCTTAGACATTTAAGTGCTGATCTCTTTGAGTCAGCCATTGTACTGTAGGTGACATGTGTTCTGGACACGTCCTCTGTTCTGATGGGCAGAAACTGGCTTAGAGACCCAAGTGGAATGGGAGACATATAATACAGGGCCACCAAGTATTTGAGAGTTGGGGTCCAGCCTGTGGAGAAGGGTTCTGGAGAGGCTGGAGTCTGATTGGATGCAGAAGACATGACAGGATGACTTGGATGGGCCCAGACAGAGCAGGGGGTCTCAACTTGTGTGTCTCAACCCCTTTTGGGGTCGCACATCAGACATACTACATATCAGATATTTACATTACAATCCATAAGAGTAGCACAATTATAGCTATGAAGTAGCAATGAAATAATATTATGGTTGGGGGGACAACACGACATGAGGAACTGTATTAAAGGGTCACAGCGTTAGGAAGGTCGAGAACCACTGGCCAAGAGGATGACAGCCCCAGACAACCTTTGGGTTTCATTCTGTTGTTTTGAGATACCTAAGGTCTCACTCTGCATGCCAAGTTAGCCACGTCCTCTCAATCCTCCCGGCTCAGTCTCCTGGGCGCTGGGATTACAGGGCTGCTCCGGCATGCCTGGTGCCAAACAATCTCTCTAGCCCAGCAACCCAGAGAGAGGCCGACTGACCCAAACTTGTTTGAAGCACGCTGCAATTATCTGGCTTGGATCAAAAGGAAATTCTAGGCTGGGCACGCATCCGTGGGAAATAACAGGCTCTGACAGAAGCTATGGGCTGAAGTAGTGTGGTCAGGAAGGTAGAGAAGATTATAGACAGCGATGCCCTCTTTGAACATAGGCTGGACTCCAGGATGCTTCTTTATGAATCCTGCTGTGTTTTTGTACAGAAGAATGTTGCCTGCTATGGCTGGTTCCCTCGGTTGGCTCTGAACCCTGCAGCCTAGCTAAAACCCTTCCATCTCTGCAACAGCTAAATTAGCAAACCGTGATCCTTTTGTGTTAGTCTTCAAGCTGTTGCCGTGGAAACTGGGTCATCAGAACCTGGGGAGGTGCAACCTGACCTGTGAAAGGATGGCAGTCCTGTCCTAGAGTCCTCAGAGGCACACACACTAAGGAGGGACTGAGCTGAGCAGAATCAAGCCCAGTGCTCTGTGGAACCTGCTGTGCCACGCCGGGTCTGGGGCCACCTTCGGCTAGCTCTCCTCAGGCAGCTGCTTCCTGCGGTTCTGATTCTTCCACCAGTGTGTCTTCAAAATTCAGTTTTCACCTGCTTTGGATTCTGCCCTCCCTCCTGACCCCCTGCCCACCACACACACGCGCGAGCGCGCACACACACACACACACACACACGCGCGCGCGCGCACACACACACACACACACACACACACAGCCCTCACCATGCCACACAAGTGAGTGCTACTGTTCAGGGCAGCCCTTATGGCAGATATATCTTTCTTCCACAGCTAACCCACCTTCAGCATCTCTGGAGGCGTGAGCCTGGCCTTCATGGAGCGCCCTCCAAATCTTGCACCGCTTGTGACCTTGCACTCAATACCCTAGACCACCTGACCTCCGACTGTCTATCTCCTGTGACATCAACCAGGCTCACAACAGGCGCCCAGGCATAGGAACAGAACAGCAGCGAGGCAGTGACCGACCCTTTGATGAAACCGCCTGTGCCTGGAGTCTCGGATCACTGAGTGCGGACCCCCATGCCTCTACCTCACAATGGTGACTGTCCATAAGAAACAGGTGGTAGAGGTCACAACGGCTAAGCACAAGTGTGGAGTAAGATAAGCTTCTAATATTCAGAGGACCGAGAGGCAGGCGATGGCCATGTATTCCATCACGAAACAAAAGGCACCAGCTGCCCACTGGACAACTCACTTTAAAGGGTGACCATGAGCCAGGCGGTGATGGCACACGACTTTAATCCCAGCACTCCGGAAGCAAAGGCAGGTGGATTTCTGAGTTCGAGGCCAGCCTGGTCTACAGGGTAAATTCTAGGACAACCAGAAACCCTGTGTCAAAACAAAACAACAGCAAAAAGTGTCGATGAGCCGTGCTTATCTTAACACATTCAGAGGCTTCAGAAGGAAGAAGAGGGCAGTGTCCTAATGTGTCACATGCTCTGCTGGCCAGACCCCAAAGGCCATGCTGCACCAGGGTCACCACAAAGCCACGCAGCCCACATGCATTCCTTAGCTGCTGCGGCACACAGGCTACACCACGGCTCATGTGATATTGGCACTGTCCCTTGGTAGGAACAAAGCTCTAAAAACAGCATTGCTCAGACACCCATGAGCATAACCCAAGGGAGGAAAAAATAAAGAACTAGGGTAAGTCACATGAGGTGTCAGGAGGGACTCAAGCCCCACGGGGCGGGGCTGGGGAGGTCTTGTGGTCAGGCGGGTGGCCCAGGAGGTTCTGGGAGCTGCAATAGAAAGAGAGCAAAGACAAAGGCATTGAGGGACGAGGAGCAGGGGATGCAGGGACAAAGGGACTCGGGGATGGGAATGTCATGTAGGGCCTATGAGACGGTAGCATCACCCTGCTGGGGACTGGGCTTAGTTGAAAGAAGGTAAGGGGTAAGACACTGTCAATCATAAAAGGACAGTTCAATGACAGGTGACTTCGGAAAACTGGTCTAGCCATGGAGCTCTGCCTCCTGCACCCCTGTGTAGCAAGCAAGGCCACCTCTGCACACGGTCATGATACAGGAAACCGATACTGTCACAGAGCTCAATGGGACAACTGAGTGAAGACAAGGCACTGGAGGAGATGGCAGCCGGTCCCCTCAGGGCAGCCTGCCCCTCCCACACATGCTCTGCTCTGCAGTCTAGACCATAGGGAAGGTGTCCACACACCTGGACGGCCTTGTGGACACCTGGTGACATCACCCACAGCAACTGAGAGCGGGTGGGGAACATTGGCAAATGACTGACTGAGAAATGGGAATCCCGGGTCCCTTCTGTTCCTATAGAGCGCTAATATTTCTCTGGTGGGTGATCTCATACACAGCCAGCAAGGTCATAAGGTCCACAGAGACTTGGCGGCCCTCAGGCCTGTGTAACACTGGCACTGGTAACAGGCCGCCCTGCAGGGATCTTTTGCTATGAAGGGGAAGGAACGAGAGAGCCAGGGCTAGGCCTAGCTCATCTGGCCCAAGGATGGGGTCCTATGCTGTCCAGGCAGCAGCTGGGATGCGCCCACAGCTGCCAATACTCTCATGCCTCTATGGTCCACGCTCGGAGTTTGCCAGGCAGCTTCTGTGCTGAGTGGTGTTCCTCCAGGGTCTTGTGACCACAGGAGAGCATGGGTGGCCATCATTAAACGAGTCCCCTTCCCTTTATAAAGTAATGGCCTGCTATCACTCTGGGCCAAATGTCCTCCATCATTACAAAGGATATTAAACTCCTTTCCAGGGTCCCACAGTCAAACTCAGGGCCAGCCTTAGAGCAGGAGCTGTGAGTGTCCGAGACACAAATTGATTGACAGATGCTCTGGTCCACAGCCCTCAGGACCAGGCCCCGTTAAGCAGTTCCTACCTGTCCCCACCTAGGTACCACAGTGCCCAGATAATCCTGTCACTCACTCTGCTGGACCCACAGCTGACCTGGGGACACACAGTGATGTTCCTGGGGCCCCCGTCATTCTGAGAAGTGGCCCTGTTTATGTGGCTGTCCTCCTGAGAACATGAAAGTAGGCCCCAACCTGTTATGGCTACAGGGCCATTTCACTCTAACCCGGTGCCCAAACACTACCCCGATGAAGCAAGCGCCCACAAGAGTCCTTGCCTACCCCATTTGGAAGTCTGGATATATCCCCATCAGCCTGGCCAGTCCTGGGCTCAGCCTTGAACTCCTTCTTACCAGCAGGGTTTTTCCAATCCTCCCCCACACTTGACCGGAGGGCCTAGTCAAAGCGATGAGGTCCCCCCTGAGTGTCACCTCCTTGCAGATGGCATGAGGACATAAGCACTTAGACATCGCTATCTCGTTCAAGCCAGAGCAAGTTTCAGCTCCTGGCACTGTCTTCTAAGAAGTCTACCAAACACGCTTTTCTTTCAGCATCTAAGAGGTTAGAGTGCCACCTGCCTCCTCCCAGCTCCACTGCACAGGCCAGGTGAGCTTCGGCCCCTTCCAGACATCCTTGCCTCGTGAGCCCCCCAGCACTCCAGCTTCTCACCGGCAGGGTGAGGGAGACTGTCTTCAAGGGGTCTGAGGAGACGGTTCAGTAGATAGAGCCCTTGCTGTACGAGCGTAAGGACTCAAGTTCGATCCCCAGCACCTACTTAAATAGCCAGTTAGTGTGGCGTATACTTGTAACCCCAGGGCTTGGGGTGGGGGGGGGTAGAGGCTGGAAGACCCTCGGGGTTCCCTGGCCAGCCAGTCTAGTCCCAGCTCCCAGGAAGAGACACTGTCTCAAAATAAAATGGGGGGGGGGGGCAGAGCTAGAGAGATGGCTCAGCGGTTAAGAGCATTGACAGCTCTTGCAGAGGACCTGGATTCAATTTCCAGCACCCACTTGGCAGTTCAAAACAAACTATCTGTAACTATAGTTCCAGTAGATCCAACACCTTCTTCTGGCCTCTATAGGCACCAGGAACCCATGGTACACATA